TGGAATCGGTATATACACTAAGTATAGAAACATGATACAGATAATTTCTTACATTCCGGCAAAATAGTATCATAAAGGAGAATAAGGTTTAAAATAAAGTACCTAATTTACATTTTACTACAGTTACTATGCCATGTGATTCTATTAACCAAAAGCTCAATAATTGAGCAAATTAAGGTTCAACATTTGTGTTATTTTGTGTAATAATTTGGGATAATTATTCATACACCAAGGTAGTGAAGAATATCATCATTACCAAGGGATAATATTCTTTACTACCAAGGTGTATGTATATTACATATTTTTCACCACAAGCAATTTATTCCAATCATTATAGTTCTGTAAAACTGAAATAAAGACCTATTGTCACTATATGGAAGCACTTCTTTTCAATTCTGATTAAGGGTGACTTTATAAAATTTTTTAGCATTTAAGATTTACCATTTAAACATTTAAGACTCAATAGTCTTAAGTGGAGACAGTTATAAAAAATATCAAGATTCTAGGGCGATACACATGTCTTCTGTCATTACTGACATCTAGTTTCTGATACAGAACCAGATTTTGGAAGTTTAGTAAGTTAGAAACTGGTTGGAAATCAAAATTTCATGTTCTGATATCATTCTATTAATTTATATTTACCTATATCCCTAAAATGATACCCACATCCATTATATCTCCACATCATTTTGAAAGTAATCACTATTCCTTGTCTAACAGAAACTAGCTCACTTCTTGGATCTTTTGCCAAATATGGAGGCAACAGAGCGACATTCTAGTGTATTTTTGAAGAACGGTTCATTATCAATCAGAATAAAAACAAATATTCAGGAATAACAACACAAGATATTTTGAATTATTTTTGAATGGCGGGAAATTGCGATGTCACTTTTGGATGCGCACTACTTATTCCATTTATGATCATTTATCAGCACTTCTTAAGTTGGAAGTTGGTCATCTTCTTAGATTTTAAATGTTAAATGGTTTTATAACATAACCAATGATATTTCCATGTTACATCTGTCATAAGTGATAAACCTTAAATGTTAGGTGATAAATCTTAAGTCATAAAGTTTTTTATAAAGTGGCCCTAAAATCTAGAAACCATGACCATAGCAGCATTATGTCAAGTCGTTATATATTTATCTTGGTGCACACGAAAGAAAATTCCTATAAGTTCTAAGAACATCGTGCGTACCTAAAGAGGATAGAAAGAGGAGGTAGGTAAACTAGATTCGAGTGCGATTCGTGCGAATCTCGCATCAGAACAGTGAATACGGGTTAATTCTAGTGTTAATTTTAACAGGCCTTTATTGACTATAGTATAGTTCATAAAATGGCAGCAACTACTACGATAATGGTAGGTTCAATAGCTATGGGTATAGTAGTGGAAAAACTAACTCTAACTAGATAACTACATATGGAATCAAGATTTATGTAAACGAATAAAGGAAAATTGAGAAAGCCTATACTGGTCGTAGATCCTGAATAATTTTGAAGAAAAAAATAATTAGTGAAGCCAATGACATTTCCTGAAATCCCTATTCAAATATCGCTCAGCTGTATCTAAATGTATGTTCATCTTTTGTAAATTATCACTATTTCAATGTAGAAGTATAGCAGTCTACCTCCTATGTGAAATGTGAAAATGTTAGACAAGCCGATGAAGACAATATGAACCTCACATTTCATTGAAAAGAATCACCCATTAAAGACTTATCGTATTTTTATGGCAGCACAATAGCCCATTATTTTTTTCGTTGCCAATGATGGCAAGCTCACTCAGTAAACCACTAGATCACTCGACTCGTGCAGTTGAACCGTTCCGTAACCGGTGAGGAGGACGCCCGGAACGAACAATAGAGCATCTTATTAACTCGACAAGATCGTTTATTCTCTTGGTGTTTTGTTCTTGTTGTCCGAAGCCAACTTTAAATATTGTGTGGCCGGCGGCCAGCCGTGTCGTAAATCTTCTGTCAATTTAAACGCGCTTTGGTATCCAATATTCCACGAATTATTTAGCATTGTTCGCTTATGCGGGGACTAGATGCAAATCTAGATGGCATTGAGAAAGGGAAAGGAAATAGCAGGTTGCTAATTGGATGGGTACTTATGTTCATCCAGGGCAGGATGAACAGAAGACGGCGTAGAAACTCCTATCAAATCCCATCTACTGTTTTTTCGGTCAAAGTTCCTACCTACCTACCTACGGCCTACTTGACAGAAGGGTTCTTTTCAATATCGCGGAATACAGGTCACATTTTATCCGTTAGATGGCGAAATCTCAACCAAAATTCAAGGTTCAAGGTGTAAGCGCCGTTTTCTCTTTTCCGTCATGAAAGAAATCTGTGAAATGTCGCCATCTTGCGTACAAATGAGAACTAATATGCCATTATTGCGGAATTTGCGGTCAAGCGTTTTGGGATAAACAAAACACTGTCAGTGATTACACTATATTCTATCCACCTTGATCCTGGGTATTGGTATATAGGAGGCGCTGGGATTCGACAAAATGGCTGCTATTTGAGCATTAAGGTTCGTTTTGGATATTGTGGATTTTTTTCTGGAGTCTATATGATGCAAAATATTATTTTCTGTGTAAGCCAATATTTGTACAAGCAAAAACTATAATATATGCTCGTAGGCTTCCAGTGGATTCGTTTTGGAGATTAAAAATAGAAAATATATAGGCGGCCATTTTCACCCACCAATGTCATTTTTCTATGGGTCAGACATCTGAGCATTCAAGAGAATGTGCTAACAGGGTTGTAGAGAGAACAATTATTTGATTTGAAACAGTAAAGCCCAAGATTATTGAAGTTACTGAAAATGTGAACATGATTTTAGCAGTACATTGGTGGTAGATTTTATCGCCTCGGATGAAAACTAAAGAGCCAAAGTTGCATAAAAATGGAAAAAAACTGTAGCTGTTCTAAAATCGAGAAAACTAAATCCATCAAATATCTAGGACTCATTCTGGATCAGTTTATGAGGTGGAATGCACATATTTTATATTCAGCCTCGTATTTAGCAAAAAACATGAGGGTACTCATGCATAAGTGCCATCTTCATTGAAGATATTCTCTCTCCAAAAAATCTAATGATTTCATACAAGTAGAGTCAATAATAAATGATTGCATAGCAAGGGGGCGGTTCTTTAAATAATACACATGATACTTGTGAAATAATAATGCGAAAACGTAAACAATTCTCAATTCTCAACAGAGACACTTTATAAAGAAACAAATGTATTTGACATAAGGCATGTATACACTTATCGGTCTTTCATTTGGATGAACACAAATATTCATAATTTCAGATTGCAAAGTTCTAGAATAACCCGATCCAGTGAAAATAAAATTATCCAAATTCCTATAGTTATATAGAAAGAGTATTACACAACGTTTTGTTATCTACTTAGGACCAAAACTGTTTAACCTTCTGCCTGAATGTTTCAAAAACACGAATAAAATAGAACAATTCGAAACTGCTCTCAAACAATTTATGTTTCACCATGCATCCGCTTTCAAAACTTTTTAATTTTCAAAAAACTCACCTCACTTTCTATGTATACATCTTCTCCTCTTCCCTTTCGAATTAGAATTATAGAAAAGCACTGTTAGTTCTTGTTCATAGAATAAAATATTTGTTGAGTATTTTAATAACTCTCCCATGCTTCATGAGGGAGAAATGCAAAACAGGCAGCGTGTTGCCTAGGTGTTTTTTGGTCATGTTCACAGGAGGTGAAGAATCAATTGAAAAAAATAATTATGTTCTCTATCATTTTTGAATAAAGCTTGAAATCTTGAAGTTGAAGGCTGTAGTTAGAACGCCATTTAGTGCGCGTCTGAAGTTCGCAAATGTAATCTCTGGACCAGCACTTCCAAAAGTGTTGCTCCTACCTATCAATGCTGGAGAGGGCAACGAAGAGGCAGTATCACTAGCCAGAGCAGGAGCAAGTAATGCACTGAATGGTCCAGAACCCTTTTGTGGTTTTGCGAAAGCTGTACAGAAAACAAGAATCAAATTATGGATGCAAACCAAATCTCAAAAATGCTGAAACAATTCGCCAGGAAATGAGACAGGCAATGGAGTTTATCAAAAAAAACATCGCCAATATTCAGTGAATGTTTACTGAGCGAGAAACGAAGTTCAACTAGAATGCTAGTGGAGACTTCTCACAGGGCATTGTAGGCTTAACAAACACATGAGTACGATGAGTCTGCCTAAAGAACTGTTGTACAGATTTTGTCAGGAAGAGAAGGAAGGAAAGCTTGACAAGGCTAAGGTTCCTTATACTGGAAACCAAGTGCCCAAAGATATAGCCTAAGGAGTCTCATAGAGAAGGCGGGGTTAGTCAAAAATCATCTAAAAAGGTCGTGGTGTGGAGGCAGTTAGCCCGAAGGCCCCAATCTAATCTTATTTTCTAATATAATCTACCAAGGCTAGAACTCCTATCCTCTATCTTAATATCTCAACTCTGTGTTTACCCAATACCAATCCAGTACCTGTGTTAATAGCAGCGTTATGAAAGGCTATGATTTATCTTGTATTCAAGAGTTATTACAGATGACAGTCCGCATTAGCTTAGACTCGTTAACAAGGTCCAATGCTCTTTAATGAACTCAAACATATATTGAATACTGTTCGCATATTTAGACCCAACTTTATCAAGATCAATTCGAAAGATGGAGTAAGAAAGCAAACGTAGCAAACCTATCACCGCTTATGGATAAGCTTTGCTGAAGTACCATCAGCAATTGTCAAACTCGAGTCTATCAAAATCTGATTGTGATTGATGGGGTTATCGACGATTGCACTTTCTACCAAAATACTAAAAAACTGAAACATTGCTCAACCAAGTTTTTTTCTTCATTTTTTCAATTTAAAATAAACTAACTGGTGATCGATTGATAACGGCATCAGGCAAAACACTTCAATTTGTCAATAATGCCATATTCCGCAGAAATTATTTAATGTTTTTCATCATTATTTTTCAGGTGGGTCTGTCTCTGTGCTTGGTGGGTCGCCAGGGTTGGTCTGTCATGGCCACCAGAAAAGATGAGAAGTCTCAGCTCCGCGCTGCACGTCTGCGCATGGGCACTACCTGCTGCTCAAACTGTAGCGGCACTGGTTAGACGAGATGTAGATTCGGATGAATTGACAGGTAAATATTGTTTTGAATAACAAATCTCCTACAACGTTTCAGTAAAAAATTAATAATTTGACATTAACAGCTTGTGAATTATTTCTACTCAACTTTTCGGAAAAGACAATCATCACATATCACATATAACCGTTGGTTATTATCAAAATTTGATCTCAGCACAATAATATTGCAATTCGAATACCTACTGACCTGGTGAATTTTGGTTTGATGTTCCATTAAAAACTGTGGAGTAAAAATGTTGATAATGAAAACCAAGCGATTCTAAGAGATTTTCCCGTATTATATTTATATATAGGGGTTTTCGTTTGACAGATTCGCGAGATATACTTAGCTTATACGAATTCTCAATGTATTGCATTATATAAATATATATCCATTTTTGTATGTTCATAATTTATCTGAGAATATTCCTTAGCTTATACGACTTATTATTTCGCTTTTCTTATTGCCGTCCCAGTTGTCGTCCATCTCTATGAACTTATATTTATACATATTTCGTTTTGCACATGAACCTACTAGTAAAATCCAAAATTTCAGGCAGCTAAAAACATCGTTTTTACCATCATCAGGTTGAATATCAAGCCTACAAACTTTGGTTACCGGCCTACGATACACACCATGTGCTGTTTGCACGTCGATGACTCTAACGAAACTATCTTTTCTAGAAAAAAAAGGTGTTACCTTTCCTAACAGCCATTTATTTCTCGAAAAATTCGATTGAACCACGACAACCATGTCGCCAATCTGAAAAGGTGTAGAGTTCTTGGTCAATTTCCCTCTGTTTGTTAAGGTTGGCAAATATTCTTCAACTCACCTCCGGCTCGAAGGACCATGTGATAAATTGGAACTATTTTGTATAGTAAAATCAAACCATAGGTCAATCACAACGACACTAATTCGAAGTCTCAATCCCAATGTCTCTTTGTTTTTCTACTGAAAGATACTACAACCAAATTTAGGCAAATATTACGAAATATTTGAAAAATAATGCTTCTAAGTTGAAAGTTGAATTTTTTCACCATATCCTGATATTAGTCGTGTTCATTTTATATTTTGCCGTAAAATAACCTGAACATATATTATATGACGCGAGTAAGGATAAATAATGTATGAATCAATAATAAGAATATAGAGTGAGCATAAAGAATTTTTTTAATGGAAATGGAATGCGTTATTGATGCATATAGTCTGGCTCCAAAAAGATGACCGGAGGAAAGAATGTGTGCCCAGAGCACAATATAAATGTTGCGATCATCAACTCACTGTCACCTCAAAATCCCAAGCGCTCGCTAGAAATGGTGGTATCAGTTCAAATATGCAATCGGTGTATGGGTTCCATCAGGTCTTCAGCATCATAATAATCGAACCTACAATGAATTGGTATATATAAAGTGTGACAAACTAAATTCCACAACTTCAGACTGCATCGTTGAAACGTTTAATTTCGCATATATCAACAAATCAACAATCATTCTCACCAGGATGATAAATTAATAGCGATTACTGCAACAATTTCCTTCACGTCCACCACATTGTGTATTTTGGCTCGAAACAAGAGGAATCCAGCAGCAATAATAATCTTAACTACTCGTCCGGAGCTGATAGACTGGCGTCTACTTGATAAACGGCTGATTGAACGAGTGTTGGCAGGATAATTACACGACACGCCAAATAAAATCGAAAAGTATCATCAAGCTAGCAAATTACATGAAAAACGATGCTGCTCGAAACACGTGTCAGTTGACGACGTGTTTGAAATTCCGCGCGATTTTCAGTTGTTTAATAGCTTCATCTTCTCGACGTTTTGAAACGAGACGACGCAGGAGCATGGTTCGCCTGGATAGCCGATATCTAGATATCTGTGACCGCGGTCGCTATAAAAACGAGTTTGGTTTTTGTCCGTTTGTGTCGCTCTTTGATGTCACTTTGTTGTGTGCGGTACGTGTTTTATTAATGTGTCATTAGAGTTGCAATTTGCAATTCTTTGCCAGGTCTGGACATTCCGAATGCGAGAAAAACGCATGGTGACCATAGTGACCAATGATTTCTTTAAAAGGATTCTGTATTGTAATCTAACGGGCGAGAGTAGAGTTTCTTATACTGTGGACTTTTATAGTGGAAATTTATAGTGCTCTTAACATCTATTCAATGGAATATTCTGAGCATAAGCATAGAACGCATAAGTAGGTAGATACACGATACCCCCATTTTGCATGGTTTCAATCTTGAAGGTGATGAAAATGTCGAAGTTTCAACTAGTAGAACGGATCTGATATTGACTTCCTAATATTGCATAAGTGAACTTGAAAAATTTGTTGAGATCGAAATCATATTGTGTCAACCTAGGTGTTAACTCTACCAAACTGGAATGATCAAGGAAATTTCAATTAGTACCTATAGTGTTCTTGAATATATATATTTTCAAGAAACAACCAGAAACATAGATTCTATATGAATGACAGATCCATACGGATATAGCAAAAAAGCTGGAAAGTCGATATCCTATGGATGTCTGAGATGCCATGAGGAGAATGTCCATAGGACGTCCATTGGATCGAGTTGTGTATTTGGGGACTGTCTATCCCCACGACTTAACGACAAATGGGCGGGCATACATACCGAAAATGAATTATAAATTGATTATTTTTTTAAATTTCGTTCCATTTTGAAATTATTCGAATTGTATAATCTGATATATTGAGAATTAGCCTTCTCCTCCAGATTTCGGATAACATTATGTCTATTTTTACAATGGGCTTATATCACAAAAAAAAATGTATTTCATAATTCGATAGAACACACCCAAACTAGCTCACCACCGCAAACCGTTTCTTGCTGTGAGCACCCTACGTTTTATAAAAAATTATTGAAATCCCTAATTTTTCGGACCTCTGAAAACGAGGCGATGATGTGACGTCAAAACCCTAATAATGAAACAAGACTATTCCAGTCAGAGATGAATGATACATGATTTCCGACAGAGTGAATTAGCGCGAGATCACAGTTGAAAGAATTAATATCAGTAATCAGTTGCCTTGCCTCAGTCTCCGTCGGGCGTTAGGTATTTTCTTTTAACTATGGCGAGATGAGGTTTCTACGTCATAAGAGGGTCCGTTTTCAGAAGGTACTATTATTTATGCCCAAAAATAAAATATTCCAGTTAATTTTTCGGTCGAATTATGTCGTCAATAATTATTTATGTATAAAAGGATCATTATAAACATGGTTTGAGTTAAAAGTTCTACTAAGGTGTACACGCCCATTCATATTTATCATGGTGATTGTTTTTTTCGGTAGGTGTACTAGTAGCCACATAAAATTTTGGTGTACCTACGAACTCGAGTTGATGTAAATCCAGCGAGGAACATAATTGGTACGAATACATCATCAGGATTTGGTAATTACCATAAAAACGAAGACTCTCATTCCGAAGAGTAGGTAGTTGGGTTGTGGATATAGTTAAGTTGATGGGTAGCTGCCATCTCTTATACCAACAAGATGATATATAATTATCGCCCATCCAATTACTCGAAACTGGACCGGATTCAACGAGCTCACACAAAAAGTAATGGAATTTTGAATAGTCATGCTCTCGAAAAATCACGCATATACAGAGTGTAAGTACAAGGTAAAGAAAATAACCTCTTTCACGTCACGAGCAGCTGAATCACATATAGTCAGTACAATAAACCAAGGAACCAACCACAGATAGATCGCAGACTTTTTTTTCAATTCATAGGTGTTCATGGGTAGATTATTCTCTGAAAATATGTCCACCGGGAAATGACTGTGGTGGGAAAATTGCTCCATGGTCCCCAAAATCCGTTTTTCCCGATATTGGCCAAAATATGACACTGAGGCAATTCATGTTTGAACATGAAAGAGCAATTTATTACCTACAAAAAGGATCCTTACTAATTTTGTCAAATGTTTGACCGTTTTCGACATAAACGATCCCTGTTCGATATTTGACCCTCCTTATATCAATTCATTTATATTTTTTTAATCAAGAGTGGTTTCACCGAATCCTTATGGATAATGGGGCTTCAAGGGTAGGTCGTGAATGTATTCCGAAAGAATCAATATATATTTTTGGGTATTTTTACTAACAAAGTGTTTTTTATTGTGTTTTTTTTTGGGATTTCCAGATTTTTCGATGATTTATGCAGGTCATATCGGTGTTCATTGCACATTGGAAAGCTGAAAATGTCCCCTTCTCGATGGCTTTTTCATTTTTTTCCCAAGTTTTCTAGTTTTCCGGATAATTGATTAGATTCTCACCTCCATGAAAAAAATCTACGTTTTTTAAATCATTGTTTTCTTCTCAGGATTGAATATTTTTTAGGTTAATAATAGTACTAAATTGAAGATCAAACGCCCAGCTGTTTGTTCATCTATATAGACATATTTGATTGCATTTTCTAGTACTAGATCTGAATGTCCATAAAAAACATTCATTGTTGCCCATTTGAACGCTTCTGTAAGACCAAAATTAACTTAGATATTGAGTAAAATATAAACAATCACCCTGTACAAGGACGATGAGACACAAAAAAGAGCGCATCTAGTAGAGTATATATTGGGTTAACCAGGACAGTTAAAATGGATCCAGTAAAGATTTCCAGAATTCTGAGATAGGATTAAATGTTAATGAATAAATAATAAACATTCAAATTATTGGACACTGAGATCTGATGTCCATCAACTATCAAACACGGTTACTGAACCTTCAACTTCGCGAATACTGCATGCTGACAACTCATCACAAATACTTCAATTCATCACATTGTCGAAAATCGAATTACCTCCCATGAAACTACCCAGTTCTTGTTTATATAGATGAAGGAGAACATGATGCTCGAGACTATAATTATCAGTCATCCAAAACCAATCTCGCGTAACCGAAATGTTGCGAAAAGGCAATTTCCAGCGATAACTAATCAAGAAGCACACGCAACGGGTGTGTGTTGAGTGACCGATGAAAAAAATTGGCTGCGAGGATATTGCGAGGACGTGGCATATAAGGGCCTCGCTTGTTAGCCGGTAATCTGCCCCGGACACGGTCGTTTTACTCGAAATATGTAAATGTTTGTAGAAGGTTTAATTAAATTTAATTGAAGAGCGAGATTGGGAACGGATCTTGGTTGCCATGCGAGATGACTGGTTTCAAGAATGTCCACTTGAATAATCTTTTGGCTGGCTGGTATGAAGTTCGGTGTTCTTCATTACATGGTAGGACATTAGATGGATTATCGACTTGCGGTTCCTATTCAATTGATCTATTCTAGAGGCAATCCCATAAATATTTCTTAATTTCTGGAGTGATAAGATAAGAAACAATTCCGTCTTATACTAACCATAAGTGAGTTTCGGACGTTACGTTACAACTACTACGGTAGTTTTTGCGACATTGTTTCCTGGGATTGTTCTCCTCGATCACTCCCCGAGAGAAGAAATTAGGAAGGAAAAACCTTCATAGTGGAAAAACCAAATAGTACAAACCACGGTACACAAGAAAAATGTTTCCTCTTTCTCTTATTTTTCCCTATGCTGAGGCATATCAGGAACTAATATAGCTCGGTTAGAACTTTTCTGTTCAAGGTTATCCATCAGAAAGACCCATAGGGGTGGGCCTTGACATTATTTTCTCATCTCATGCCTTGCCACAGCCCTTTATCAGAAGTTTTACAGGGTGATCTCTCAAAGCGTGACAAGCCACAAATTGTTTTTTTGAAATGAAACCCCCTATATTTATATATTTTTTTCGGAATCTGTAAATTTTTGTGACAAAAAAAATATATCACTTTTTTATCACCACTCTTTTGAGCCTTGAAATACAAATTTTGTCTAATTGATTGGTGATCACTCAATCAGTTTGAGAATGTATTCGATGATGATGCAATATCACAGTCAATTATATCCTCATTGATGCCTAACACGATACCTGTAGAAGCCAACACACAAAAATTGGTTTTCTGGGGTCCAAAAAGTAATGAAGTAAAAAATTAAAGATATCAATATACAAATACAGTAGAAGGAAGTCGATGCTGACACGTTAGAAAACTACGTAAAACTAGCTCGCTAGTGGGGATTGCAGCAAACTAGAGGTGAACTCCCTGATGATGGAAATATACATTTCCGAAAGCTCGGACAAATGTGATGAGTTCACCTTTACTTTGCTGCAATTCCCACTAGTTTTATATATAAATATATATATTTCTATGATCACATAAAATCACGGATTCCGATAAAATATAAAAAACATTGCTCTATTAAAAAAATAATGCTATGAAAAGCCTTCATTGCGGCATTCAATTTCTGCATATTGTTTTTTTTTCTTGATAAAAAAATTAGGTTAATATGGGGGTGGACCTTTTCGATTGATAACCCTGTACCTTGATTTGTAATTTCTATTGGCAGTGTGTTCATTCATCTACTGTACCATTTCATCTGAATATACAGGGTAACTCACGTTTGATGGTAGGTTAGACATTTATGGAGAACGCAACGCAGGATTTTTCTGAAAATTTCGCATCTTACATTTCATCACCTGTCCTATCTATCTAAAATATTTCCTAAATTTCGACGTTCCTATCAAAAAGTCCTAGCAGCTTTATTTTTTATATGGAACTATGTATATTAATACATTTTTAGAATTGCCTTTCCAATACAATACTCCTTTGTTGATAAATCCCTATACCGATCTCTATCGGTTTTCGAGATGAAAAATAATTTGTGTTAAATATGATCCAAAACATATCCCTAATTGAACTTAAGTGTCAGGGCTCTCAATTCACTAAGAGTTGATATTTTAGTGGTTGTTTGGACAGGCTTGATGTATTCAATTCACACCGAGAAATCGCCTCCATATCATACAGGGCGTGCTGAAATTATTATTATATCCGTTGTTGATACAAGTGGTCAAAAGTTCATTTTTTTCAAATGGAACCCACTGTTTTTTACTCAATAAATTGAAGGAGGAAGAAAAATATTACAAGATGACATAGCATGTCCTGAATCATCAATATTTCTTGATAAAGCCGCTTTTTGTGAAAAATATAATTTTTTGAAGAAGTTAATTTTAGATAGCCATGGAAATATCAAACTCTTATTGCCAGTGTTTCGGAGAATCTCTCAGAATGAAAGGAAATATCGATTATTCAAACGAAGTTTCTTATTATACACAGACAATGTTATCAAATCATTGCCAGAACTTGCAGAAAATTCAACCAAATGTATCCTGAATTGACACCAATGAACGAGAGGAAGTTTGTAAGATTACAAAATAATTTTATCAACTATATGGCTCAAAGTTTCCAACTCTATCAAAAATAACGTCTAACCTACCATCGACCGTGAGTTACCCTGTACATATAATTATCATTATATCTCAATAAACTGCAATAACTATCCAACTATTTACTTTGTTGGCCCTAAATGTTTTGTCATTCTTGATAAATTTATTATTACTATCATGTGTGAAATACCTACTGGCCCGTGTCATACGGTATCGTGACACGGCCTTTTCACAACTTGTCAACTTATCCACCCCACGTGATTTCCCTTTATCACGTCCGCGATCGTTATTTCGCACCAGAGACTTCAGTCTCTGGTTTCCCATGAACGCCAACTAACTTCAGACAGCCGAGCAGGGAACCAGAACCAGACCAGACTGTCGAGTCAGAGAACAGGCAGGCAACAAGCGAAACCCGAGCCTTATGCAAAACAGCTGCATATTCGCTCTCGCATCCAGCAGACTTTGTCTTTTGTTCGGCAGTGCCGCATTACTCACTTGTTGCATGGAAACTGGTCGATGTAAATTTTTGCGTGCATCTAGATAGCCGTGCGACGCCATTCAGATGTCCGTTCCTTGGATTTTACAGGCACCGTTGCGACTCGAATTTAATCTGATGCAGAATTGTGGGGCATTAATTACCGGTGGAATTTTCGGCGAATACGACCAGTCCCAGATGTGTAGATACGATACCATGATACCAACCGAAGAAACGATACTGATGAATGTCTAAAATAAATAATAAAATTTACATGCATATCTTAAATGAATGATCAAATTCACATGCATATTCGGAATGGGTATTTCAAGTCCGATCACTTTTAAAAGAATTTGAACCGAACAATGCTTGTTTACTCGAGATTTCATTGTTCGGAGTCTTTTGCGTTTTTCTAATCTACGAGTTGAATATTGTAGCAATAGAGACAGACGTCTCAATATACCTCTTTGGAAAGCATGAAAATGATTCATTGAAATATATACGAAATGTTAAATAAAGAAGTTTTTCGTCGTCCTCTACAAAAAAATCACATTTTACGTTCTAATTCATGAAAACAAAAAACCGACTATTTCTGAAGGCAAGTACTTTTCGGCCGCAGACATGAACTTTTTGTCCGCAAACACTTTTCGTCCGCTGCAGGGTTGGCAGTCATAGGTTTTTTGCATTATCCTTCCTTGGAACTCGTAAAGCATAAAATAGATCTTGAATAGATCTATTGAAATCTACTGAATTTTTGACAAGGTATTCACGGATGGAATAAAAATCGAACTACAGTCGTTTTTGCAACCTGAAAATCTCAGGTTAATTGCTTGGCTGAAAACGTGTCTGCTAGTTCTACTCAATGCGCATTAACCCACAAACTGTCATTCATGACAGCGAGTCATATTTCTTTCTGTTCGCAAACATAATTAAATTCATGGTCTCCAATTTAATCTCGTGGGTGGCATAGCTTTTTTTCTTATGGCATTAGCGGTCTTGATGCTCCTAGTGTATCTTGACATGCTTTCATTTTTCAATACTTCCCCTAATTGTCACTTGTCTGATATTTCCCGTCATGGCCACCTCTACGTCCAAAAATCCCACCAGATTTACAGATTTTTGAAGACCACGATATGACCACGATCCTCCTACATATATTCCAGATTCAATTTATTCAATTATTGGATTAATCAAAATCTACATTTTGTCATCGAATATCAATTACATGTATATACAGTATGATGCAAATGTATGGAATTAATTCATTATTTCAGAAATGGGCGACATTTGAAAAAATTCCAACAACACGTGTTTTAATTTCTGAAGTCTCATCTCATGATATTCATATGAGAGATGTTACGTCACCGGTGTTGGAGTAAAGACGTAATGGACGATTTTTTCAAATACAAATAGGGGTCATGTGACACCTTGATTGAAAGGTCTACCGATCGTCTATTCAACAGTCAACATTTTGCATAAGAAGTATGAAATTAAAATGGATTATCATGTGATTAATTGAATCTCGCAGAGGTCTGCTACTGAGAATTGAACATCGAAGGGTCGTCTAGTTAAAAAAATACGTCGAAAAAAAGTTCTAAACTCTAGTTTTTGTTTTTTTTTTCGAAAGTCGTCTTGTTTTGAAATGAATTTATTCCATACATTTGCATCATACTGTACATATATTTCATATTGTATCTCCTTCACATAGGTTAGTGACCTGTGTGTGAAAGAGATGAATTATTTCACGTATAAAATTGTTTTTCCTCAATATAAATACTTAAACTGAAAACAAATAATCAATTCATACAATAATGATAATAAATTGAGATAAATGAGAATAGATGGCATACAAATATTTTTTACTTCCATGTGTGTCATTGATAATTTTGTTCTCCAACATTATTACATTATAGTGATTTTCCTCAACTTCCTTTCATCATCACTATTTCAAATATACTCTGGAGAAATATTATTCCGAATTATTCATTTTTCGTTTGTTTCAGGAACCTGTTACATCGGCAACAAGAAAACCTCGACCCTCCTCTCGCTGGTCCTCCTCCCCTACTTCTTTTACTTCGCCTGCGGCACCATCCTCCTTTTCTTGGGCTGCAGCTACGTCATGAGAAAGCCGCGCTCCCTAGCGGCCGCTCCCCTAACTAACGCAGCACCAAGAAAAGAGAGCGACTTCCTCGGCGCCATATGCACCCTCTACGCTATCCCGACGTTCTGCGTCATGGCTAGCATCTACTACGAGTACAACAACAGAGACAAATGGATATCAGGGGAGAGGAAACCAGCGTTGTGGGCGTTTTTGCTCAAGTACTTCATGGTGCTGTTCATCGGCGTGAGCAGCGTTTTCTGGATATGGTCCATGAAGAGCGTCACCGCATGGAAAGCCGTCCTGAGAAGACTGGGGCCGAGGAAACAGCCTCCTCTGAAAGTGCAGACGATGCCTCAGGTCATGAGGTATATGCCTGCTCAAACTTTGTCCAGCAATCTGAGCACTACCTCGAAACATTCGAGCAGATCACATTCACACAGGAAACCGAGGTTACATCATATGAGGTCTGGTAGCGAAACTGTCATTTGAAAGAGTGGAGATTGTTTCCATTTTAAAGCTAGCAAGGTTTCAGTTACTTTCATTGAAAAGTAAAAGAGGAACCAACAAAAAAGTATAACGAAGTAGATCCAAGAATGGTGGGACAAACATTGCTGCATTGAAAATGAAATGGATTAAACTTTTTTCAACCTCCTATTGAAAGGAACTGATACACCAGACTGTAATTATTTTTGTATATCTATGTATGTTCCTGATACTCTATAAATGTAAATATTTTCCATAAAATATCCTATAAATCCAACAAGCAACTAAATGGACAATATAGTTCAGTTGGAAATATAGCAGAAAGTAAGATACGGACTGCTTGACCTCTTGCCGTTAGGCGGGTTTAAATTATCGATATCGTTATCGATGATGATCAGTGTAAGTGGTTAGTTAATCGACCGGCTGTCTATGTCAGTTTTGAAAAAATCTAAAGTTGAGGTGGTTAACTACCAATCTGTCATAAATGGTACTAGTGTTGAGTGTCAATAATCACGCAGTATATTCAGAATAATCGCAGTAATGATTGGATTATCATAGGCATATCCATAGTCAGCTGTTACCGGCACACTAGCCACAAACACCGAAATACCATAACTTTTATACAGTGCTTTCATCGAAAAACACTACATAGGCAAGGTAATCGGTCGCAGTCGTGGCTAGCACAAAAGTGAGGGAAGCGGCATGGCTCACTTTCTCGCTTCCATCAAAAAACGATATCTCACGAGTCATGTCCTATGTAGGGTATATAGACAAAGACGTGAACGCACAAAATGTATTATTAACTCAAAAACTAATGACTTTATTTCATCTTGAATTGTGAAAAATATACCCTGGATGGTGACAGAAATATATAATTGGTTCACCAATTAACTCTGTAATTATTTTCCTAATTTTTAATTGACCGATTTGCGAGTACAAACCGGGCTCTGCTGTCCATGCTATCTACTTTATTCTCAACTGGATTGTACTAGAGACTTGCATTTTTATATTATTATAATATATTATGTATTATTTCGATTTCTCAAATATTCTAAAAAGTAGGGAGAAAATAATTCAACAAGTTTTACTGGTATTTTCCTCCACCTTTGATATCCAAATAGATATTGATCTATATCACAGCAGATCAAAACGGGAAGAAGTAATTTTAGGTAGGTCCCACTGAGCAATTCGAACAATATTTATGTAAATAGTCTGTGATTTGATATGTACTTATACAAATATTATTTATTTTTTATAAGAATGTACTTAAATTTATGTTCACAAAATTAAATGTACCTCCTTTCCTATACGGGGTTTTCCTAAATGCCATATACATATTAATGGACGTAATTCCTTGGTGTATTTTAGGACTAAAAGTTCCTATGAACATAATATGTCCTAATTTGATTCGTTTTCAATAAACATTGTGTCCAAGTTGATAAAGAAAAAGAGTTTTATTCAATAATAGGTAGGCAATCGCTGAATAAAAATAAGAATCGGGAAATCCTGAGGGAAAATGGAATTTGATAACATTAGGCCAATTGAATTCCCAATGGAGCCGTTTATTATGTTTTTTACTAAGAAATGAGCAATGGAGGAAAACTTGAAAATTCCATATAACACTACAACATGCCAACAATATTTGAATTATATGACAGACTAGATTTTGCCATCACGAAGTGAACGGAAGAAGAATCTATATTTTCGACTTTGATGGCATTTATCTAGTGATCGAACTGATTCCAGACAAGTTTATAGGAACTTTTAGTCCTCAAATAAGCCAAAGCACATATTTCATATGAATTTGACATCAAGGAATGATGCTCCAATATTCCAATATGTTTTTTTTAATACACTTCCCTGTATAATGTTTCCTTAGTAATCTCATAGCTAATAGTACATTGTTTTATTAAGATCAAAAGTTTGACAAACAGATCGAGTCACTTTCGATTGAAATGAAACATGCCATTTTTTCTATAACCTAATTTATTTATATCACTCACACTCACTTGAGCCCGTCAGCGTCAGCAGCTATCAGCTGATTGAATGATTAATTTTCAATTCCTGGGAGTTACATTTCAACATAATCTAGTACCTATGTTATATGAATCATATTATTGTGTCAGTAAGTGAAACCATGATGTGTGAAACGTCAACTTCGAGAGTTAATTTTGGTCATTCAATCAGTATTTTTTTTTCTACTTTTCGTTTCATTAGTCATTGTCCTTTGTATTTTACATTTCGTAGGAGAGGGTTTCAGACTTGTTTTTCTGCTTATGACCCTTACCGTCTCATTCCTCACGTGAATCGTACCAATATTATAATGGGCTAGTGGACTGAGTATTATTTATTTTTATCATTGATCATCATACTAATCATTTTTGGAATCCTATCATTTTTTAATAATTTTCTGTACTGTTTCAAAGGTCTCAAAATCACAAACGAAGTCAAACGTTCGAAATTTGCCGACTGCTACTACTGACGTCACGACTCAGTGAGAGATACACGTAGTTGCCAGATGTCAAAGTACAACTGGAAATAACAGAAATTGTCAGGCTCTTGAAATTATCGTAAAAAATATTGTGGGGTCTGTAACGACACAGTACAAGATGAAAAAAAAATTCAACACCAGTTCAGTAGCCTATCAATAGAAATAATTTGTTTTGATTCCTTTCTTTGATCATCTGAATATTCAGTCTCATCATTTATCACTTATATTTATTTTATATGTTCTGTATATATTATGATGGTGCCATTAAATCGTTCAATATTTTAAATATAAATGTAGTATAGATTTTATATAATATTTTTATATGACTATGTACTACTTGTAATGATGTTATATGATTTAGCCATTACTTTGTGTTTTGTGATATGTGTCTGTAAATAAGTTTATGAAATAAATGTTTATAGTATAAAAGGCAATATTTATTGATATATTTCAATAACGAAATCAGATAAATGTCCAATAAAATTAATTTCAACGAGAGGCAGTAGAAATTACCGGTTCAATATCTGTTGAAAAATGTTACCAAAATAATTTTGCAAAAAACCCGTGAAAATTATTTTAGGTTGCACTCTGGTAATTCTTCAATACTTGATTATCCTCATAATCGAGATGTTTATAATTCCTCTGGTGTGCTCACTCTTCAATTGTTTCGTCAGACTAGCTCTCGATATGAACAATTGAATGCAATTTCTTGAAAAATTTCAAATTGCGTTTTTAATCTTATTAGGAAGTTGAACTAGTCTTTCAAGGATGTGTTTCCCTTCTTTCGGGACCTGCCCATTGATGATGCACGAATTCAATAAGAAGTATTTAAAGACAGGACGCGCAAGAGACAAGGATCAACGAATAATCCGAGTGGAAACATCTTGATCTTTACATATCTGTCACAAGTGTCATGTTTTCTGCATATTCAAGAATTTGTTCACATTTTAAATAGAAATATTATAAGTTAAGAGCATAAGTAGTTTATTATGCAGGTATTGATATTATATTATTAGTTGAGTGAGTGTATTGTGCTTTCATCATGGACTGACTAATGCAATGTGTGATTATTTGAAAAGCTGAACAGTAGTTTCATTTCATGTACCAAAAGTGAGTAAATAAACTATAATCACAGGATTTTCTTAAGTTAGGACTCTGTGTCGTTCATGACTTCACCATTGAAAGTCGAATATATGACGCACCGTTTCCATCTAAATAAAAAATTGTGATGATGAGAATGTGAACTCAGATGAACGTGTCGATGCCTGTAAATTTGGTTTGCTTCAGAAATTTAGCAAGATTCTCCCACGCCTCGCTATTTTTACAAAGTATGCGTTATCGAGAGATTCCGAAACCCCTTTCAATAGAAAGTGATAACACCATTTCTCGTAATGTCGGCATCTTAGTTGACATAAGGAGTTGAGTACCACAGCCTACACAGAACACACGTAGGCAAGTAGATTATCGTCATTGCTCTCATAAGTCAACTCATGTGTTCTGTTTTCTTATAAACTGGAGGCTGAGATATTATGACAAAGATATTTGAGTGATTTCATTAGAATTTGAGGTTCATTGATATTCGCGATAGAAAATAACACGTCGCCCCACCTGACGGCAGCAACTTGAACACTTCTGAGTGTTTGTTTTGATAATATGACCAATAAGCTCAAACAAAAAACAAATGTGAACCAATGAAAACAAAGTAAACATGCCGCTTTGACAGCTTTCAAAAACTCCGATAGGTGGCGTACGCTTATTTTCTATCGCGAATGGCAAGTATATCAAAATTGTTCATTTAGATTGTATAAACCTTGCAGAGGCGGAACGTGAGTTTGTGGGACTCTGTGCTAATACTAGTTGGGGCCTGTGCTAATACTACTTAGGGGCCCTGTCTAATCAACCAACTGATTGCAATTTTGTCAACGTAGTGTTTTCGATAATGATTTACTAGCTACAAGGTATAGGCGAATCTTGCTAAGGAGTACGCCCTCTACCCTTGTCTAATATAATTAACGCATGGGCCATTGATTCCTTTGTTTACATTAGTTTGCGTGTGTTTTGTATGAGAAGTTGTTAAAAACATGAATCATTATTGTTGTGATTGTGTTGTTAAAAGTCAAGTAGAAAATATATACCTAAATTTATTTACCTTCCAAAGAACATTTTATTCCCAAAAAGTATGCTGAATTTTCTTTTAAAAATATCATACTATTAGGGGAATATCCCAGCCATATATTCGAATTGGAAATCAACATCCCACACAGGTTTTCATGATAATTCTTGTTCAATAATGATAAAAACTTACAGCTTATGTATGTTGGAATATATGAAGTTCAACTAGAGTTAGGTAGGTTATCTAATGTTGAACAGAGATAATATAGTCCTGAATCGCAACACAATAGACCACTGGAAAATACAAAGTTCCAAAATAGACAAATAACAAAGCTGAACGTTTGAAAACTCAAAACGAAATGAACAGAAACACCATTACCAAACAATGTAAACAATCCGCCAA